TTTAATATGTGCGTTGAAGGACATGTCCTGGTCAAACATGACTCTATTATGTAGAGGTTTGATTCCCATTCATCGTATATTTGTTACTGCCCCCGTGGTGGTTTTATGAGGAACAATGGGGAAGAAGAAGGTTCCAGATTTGTACGGAGCCCCCTTGCCCTGGTGATCAAAAAGTATATTCCATGTTCTGTTCTGATTGGATTAGCCAACACAAGTACGGTGGCTCATAACAGACAAATGGTGCACAGTGATCATTTAACCAGAGGATCTACAATAACTTTAGTCAGAGATGGAGAAAGAGATAAAACAGACAGGAGAGGAAGAAGAGAAGAACTGCAAATTACATGTAATGTGTGTTGATAAATTATGTGTTTTCATCATGTGAAACATCCCGAAAAACAAACTAACTTGTGTTATTAAAATGTTGCATGAAAATCCAGGCCAGTTTTGTGCAGGATAAACAGATGAGCTGTGTGAGTGTGTCTGCAGATGCTCAGACTGGCCCAGCTCATGGCATCTGGATCTGTTCACAGCAGCTTATTTTGATCTGCATACACACAGCTCTATAAATGCTGAGATAAGATCTTTCTCCACATTTGATCTTCATGTTCTGCCTCCTACATTTAATCTACTGCGGTCACGTTTGAATAATTAGATTTAAAACGAAATGTAAAATTAGGATTCAGCTTAATCTAAATGATGAGCATGGGCATTATAATAAAATGATACATTTTATATCAAATTTTATTCACTGTATGATGACAAGACGCTTCTGTCATGGTCAGCACTGGTCTTTATTTACCCGTTGCTATGTTGAATCGTAGTTTCGGGGCTCTGTTGATGATGCCTTTCTTTCCCTACACTCCGCAGAGTGACCCTGAGCGCTTCAGCGCGTCATCCCATTGAACCACACTGAATTCACTCCGATCAGCTGTTGTGGAGCAGGAAGCTCGGAGTTGTTCACCTTAGAATTTATTTTTAAACTCAGTTTGTTGAACCTACTTCTTGGAATCAAGCCCCGGTCAACACACGACACCAGACGGTGGCGATGATGCACCGTTCGCTGTTTGCTAACCGCCATTCCTTCTTTTAAGAGAAAGAAGAAGAAAGCTTACCTCCTGGTTAGCTGCTGACGTGTATTTGCGCGGAAGTGTCCGTGGATATTTCTGCAGCTATCGTTTAGTTCTTTCCGCGACAGTTCAAAATGAAATCATTAGCTTGAGCTCGTACCTCGATGGTAAAATAAGAGCCGAGGATAGCGACGACTCAGCACAGGTAGGTGTCAAATTTAAATCACAGACCGGCTTGCCGGCAGAGCTAAAGTGCTAACTGTAGCAAATACAGCCGGATGGTGTACATTAGCAAACCGTAGCGGTTTAAATACACCATTAACGTGGTTCTGGTTCACCGTTTCCTTTAACCTCATGGTTTTTCATTCAGTCACTTACTGCTCAGCTGCTCTTTAAAGCACAAAGTCTGCTGTTTCAGTCCTGTGACAGACCAGCTGTGTAGCTTCTCAGCCATCCACCTTACAGCAGTCTTAGAGCTTGAAAGGAAGCTAACTGCACTTTTCGACCGTTTGATCTCTCCTTCATTTCCCTTAAAACTGAACAAACGTCTTGGAGAAGGGACGAAACGTGTTCAAAAACCCAATTTACCTTCTTACAAGCTTATATACGGGACTCAGTAGCTTTATCAGTCCGACACGCCAGCAAACACCATCAGCTGCTTCAAGAAACACGATTAGACATTAACCCAGAATCTCAATGAGCGCAGAAACTAGTAACACATGAAAGAAGAGGACATCAGCCATGCAGGTTTCATTCCAATGAATAGAGTGGCTTTTATATAGTACTTAAGCATTTCATCTGCGTAAAATTCATGGCCTTTTAAAGTGGATGTGAAACACTACATATATTAAGTGTAATTTACACCATAGAGCCTTAAACACACAAACCCAGTCACAGCTTTAACACTGTCAGCGAGAGTTAAGATCCTCCAGCATCGCTACAGGAGGAAAATAATGCTGCATATTCTCCTTGATTGTTTGGGATTTATCAAAAACAAAGTAAGCCTCGACGTCAGCTTGTTGTCTGACAAGCAGCCTCCACGTGTTAAATATGACATGTTTCAGAGCAGGGCTACAGTGTGTATATTAGGCTAATGCATGTAGTGTTTATGATAGGAACAAATCTCAATGTCTCAGGTGGGAAACTGGACAAACAGTGCTGATCACAGCTGTATTTACATAATAACATCATCCAGGGGTGAGAGGAAGCTGAAGCATCAGGAGAAACCCCACAGAGAGAGAACGTGCAGATTCTAACCAGCACAGTTACTCAGAATGAACATTCATGTGTGTGCACATGCTTCTGCTTCACGCTCAGCTTGACCTGTAATGATTTGTCCATCAGTCTGCTTTGATGTTTTCCAGCCCGTTGGCTCTCGTGTTATCAAACCCTCACTCTTCTCATACATATGTATTAATATCTAAATGCTGTTTTTGCCTCCTCAGGGTAACACAAAGCGTCGCACAGCTGCACACAGGAAGGCACACAGCTGCTGCCCTCACCAGCAGCAACACACAGAGCAACACTTTATGAGGACTTTCCAGAGGTTAGCAAGCTCCTGTTTAAACCTGCATTTTTTGCACTATTTTGGATGACTTGAAAATAGTTTAATAATAATAATACAGCCAGAAGAAAGAGCACACTGGAGAAGCTTAAACTGATAATGGTTAGTCTTTTGCAGAAATATAACCTGCTCAAAAACATTAAGGGAACACTTGATGATCATGGTATAACGTATAGTCGGTTTCACTTCTGACCTTCAACTCTGGTGCAAATAAAAGTGCAAACAGGTGTGCTGGAGAGGCAACAAAACAAAAGCGACACTAAATCTTTTTACCCACTAAAATGCTCGGCGTAGCGGACTGAAAGTAAGAATAGCTGCAGCGTATGTGAGACAAAGGCAGAGATCTCGAGTCTGCAGCACTGTTCCTGAAATCGTCATTAAAACCTTGACTGGGAAAAGCCAGCCTTAGACTCAGGAGTGAAGACGGGCAAACTTGGTAGCTGCTGTTTGTTTTACAGTGAAATGATAAAACTCACAGCTCCAGTTTTATATCTGATACCTGCAGCAGACAGGGGCGAGTCTAAAGGGGGGCATGGGGTTTCACGGCTTTCTGAACATGTTTCAACTTGAAAGTGAAATAATATAAAATATTGCATTAATATTTAAACATTTTTCACAAGCCAGTAAACACGTACCTGAGCCACTAACCTGAGGGTTGTAAGGTTGGACCCTGAATGATTGTTAATGTGATTTCATGTCAACACCAGCACACACCTGTTTCTAGCAGCTCCTCTTAACGGCAGCCAGAGTGAAGGTCATTATTTTATGCTGTAGTTTGGTTCATTAGATCATTTTGTTTGATTGGAAATTGAAGCTGCTGGACTGGACGTGACTAAGATGGTTTAATAAAGTTCAGGGACACCGTCGGCATCCGCTCAGTGTGACGTCTGTAGCTCCAGCAGAAGGAGGACAGACGACGTCACAGATAAACTCACTCTGTTTTCCACAGGTGTGTCTTGGCAGTTTTGTGAGGAACAATGGGGAAGAAGAAGGTTCCAGACTTGTACAGAGCCCCCTTCCCCTTGTACTCGGTGAAAGTGGACCCTGACACAGGGCTGGTGATCATAGCAGGAGGAGGGGGGGCCTCCAAGACGGGCATCAAGAACGCTGTGGTCAGTACTGAAGACGGTGTTGTTGCTTCTTCTGTTCACTTTTCTTCTTGTATTTCTTGACTGTCTGGAAACAAACTGTAACAAAAACACTGTTGTGAGTGTTTGGTGAGAGTATCCTGATACATGTGTACACTGAGTTTGTATCCAGAGTACAACAGCAGCAGACTGATGTTTGTGTTTACAGCACTTCCTGGATCTGCAGCTCGTTGGGGAATGCCAGCACAGTGCCAGTCTCCTTCACTGCCATGATACTGACACGCGTGCTACCATGAACATGGCTGTAGGTAAAGGTGTGATTGCTGCAGGACAGGACGGGAGCTGCTGTCTGATGCAGTTTAAACAGTGCACGCAGAAAGAAGGCAAAGATGCTAATAAAGATGGTGAGGCATACTGCTACATACTGCTACAAGCTAAATATGCTAAAATTTCCCAAACAGCAGCTTCAGCGCTGAGCATGAAGAAAAGGGTTTTATGGTCTGAACACCTTCTGTTCAAATAACAAGTGTCCTCTGTGCTGCAGGGAAGAGCAAGCAGCAGGGGAATGCCAGGCTACGAGCTGGGAAAGGAGACAAGTGTGGACAGGATGGAGTTACACCATCTGGAAACACGTCAGATATGAAGGACGAGACGACTCGCATCTCTGTGACCGCTTTAGCTGAGGTGCAGTCAGACCTGAACCCTCAGGATCCGCTTCAGAAAGTCGTCAGGTTCAGTCCCGACCAGAGCCTGCTGCTGACCGGAGGCACCGACGGGCACGTCAGAGTCTGGGAGGTAAGACTCAGTCATTTCACCCACAGCTGTTGAACATGCAGTTCGCTCCGCATAGACAGAGACGATGTTTCCTTCTGATGTTGGTTCTGTACATTAATGAAGAACACTTTCAGCCTTCATGCAGTGTGTGGAACTAAACGATTGCTTTCTTTCAAAAACACAATCCTGTCACTGCAGGGGCTCAAAAGTAATAAACTAATAAATAAAGTATTGATTTCAGGGCTCGCAAAATCGCTAGTCCGACGTCCCGGGGCTTTTTTCAGTCGGGTTACTGAAATCTATCTCAGCCCTGCCTGTCGGCTGTCACAGGAAGGAAGAATATGTCAGTGCTTTTGCAAATGCAGCTGGGTAATTGTGTCATTAGCATCGATCTGTCAAAATGTGACGTATTGAAATTGCGTTTGACTTTGCGCTTGTTTGTTGCTTTCACTTTCATTTTGTGATGCACAAACTGTTTAAAGAGCAGCAGTACTGCCTGGTGAGTGAAAAGCCGACCACAACGCCGAAAACACAACGCCAAATCAGACTACGAGGCAAAAAGAAAGCGAAGCTTTTTTGGTCTCATGGACAAAAGAATTTCTGTGGCTGGGACATGACGAGCGAAATAACATCATGTTCTGCTGTGTGTGTCGTGAGTTTCCCTCCATTTCTGAGTCAACAAGCGCCTTTGTTACTGGGACCAGTCATTTTAGGAAAGACCCCATCAGAACCCATGAGAAATCTCTGCATCACAAGAAATGCATTATTGCAAAAAACATACCAAAAATAAACCGAGCACAACAAGAAGTCCTGAAGAAGCTGCATGAGAACAGCGTACGATGTTGCAGAGTGAACGACCACTGGCACAATTTAGCCGTCTTTGCAAACTTCAGAAAGCAAACGGCCTCGATCTTGGTTCCACTCGCCTCAGTGACCACGCATGCAGAGAGTTTATTGGAGCAGCAGCACAAACTTCAAGAGACGAGATTGAAAAGGAAATTAAGAAAGCAGGTTTGTATCCATTCTTGCAGATGGCAGCACAGACACTGGTGTAACAGAACAGGAGCTGGTTCACGTCAGGTGTGTGAGGGATGATGGTGACACACAGGATCAAACTTCAGCCAGTCAAGAGTGCAAATGCTGCAGGTGTTTTAGAGGCTTTTGATGAAGCAGCGAACACCGTGGGTGTCAGAGAAGACGCGTGGAAGGAGAAAGTAGTTTGTGCAAATGTTGATGGTGAGGAAACAGGAGGAGCTGGGAGACTGAAACAGAGGATCCCCCACATCATAACAATCCACTGTGTGGCACACAACCTGGAGCTCGCTGTGCTGTGACTGCCTGGTGAGATTTGAAGATACACTGAAAACCATCTTTAAGATGTACTACTGTTCCCCAAAGAAGCGAAGAGAGCTGACAGAAATAAGAGCTGCTAATGAGAAGCTGGCACATTTCAGTGGCCTGAAGAGCACACGGGGGCTCCCAAGCCGGCGGAGATGACTGAAGGCTGTGGGAAAAATTACACTGTTGTTCATATGGAGAACATGGCAGAAGGAAGTGATGTCAAAGCCGAGGATGCAGCCGAGGCTGAGGGTGGTGCAGGAGATGAAGACTGAGAAATTTGTTGGCTTCCTGCATTTCATGTTGGACTACAGCACCATCTTATCCAAGTGCTGTACGGATTTTCAGCACGATAACCTAAACATCACACATCAGAGCACCACATCACGCTTACTCAGCCTGACAACAAAACCAGGAGAAGATCAGAAAACCTTGGACACAAAGTTCACAGGAACCAGGATGGTGGCATGTGCTGCTGTGGAACTCAGCTAACAAAAAGTGCTAGCAGAGGTGAGGGCACAGACAGAGACACCTTGGGTGCAGAGATTCAGAAGATTATTGACAGCACAGTCAAGTACATGCACAACAGATTTAAAAATCTCCATGAAAAGCCTCTCTCTAGTTTCAAGGTTTTGACCCTTCCACTCTTCCCTACCCCAGAGAAGAGCTCTGAATTATGGGGATGAAGAGGTGGATTATCCTGTCACACATTTTGCCTGTTTGCTAGATGAGAAAATTCCACAAGAATGGATCTAAAAATGTGGCTTGCAGAACGCCGGGGTAGCAACGTAGATTGGTTGTACAGAGATCTCCTCCCTGAGAATCCAGAGCACCTCTCATATCTTGTTGCAGTTTAAGGATGGCTTGTTTCACCTGCACAGAGAGCTCCTTTGACCACATGATGTCTGTTCACAGCAAAATCTTCCAAATGCAAGCACGACTCCTCAATTCAACTCCAGGTCTTTTATCTGCTTGATAATGACAGAACGAAGGAACTGCCCACACCTGCCCATGAAATGGCCTTCCTCAGTTAAAAAGAAGATGACACATGTTGAGGAGCTGAAACTCCTAAAACCTTCATCCAGTTTGAATGTGGAAAACCTCAAATGACACTATGTCCATATTCATAATGTAACTATAACTGGAACGTTTCAGTAAGCAGGTAAAATAAGTATTAATCACATCTGCAATTTTCTAAGTACATATATTTCTAAAGGTGTTGCTACAGATGTTGGTAACAGCCCGTCCATGCAAAGAAATCAGGCATAGCTCTAAATTATGTTTAATAATGAGAAAGACACAGAAAACATGAAGAACGGCATGAAAGCAGCTGAAATCTATCAGTCATTACAAAGCAATCATGTAGTGCATGTCTCGTTGTTGTCGGCAACAGTGGTTACTGAAGGTAAACATGAGCACTGGGGTGATGATCTGCAAGTGGAGAGAACGTGATTTCACTATAAACCATAATAATTTATTGTTTTTGAGCTCAATATTTAGAGGAGTGAGATGTTATGAGACGCTGGTGTATTCGTCCTGCAGTGGAAGAATAAACGTTGTCTCCACCTGGTATGTCCTGTTTCAGTTTCCTTCCCTGAAGAAAAAGTTTGACTTCAAAGCACATGAAGGAGAGATCGAAGACTTGGATATAAGTCCTGGGAACAAGGTCAGTGTCAATGTTTAATAACACGATTTGCACCAC